ACCTTGTGAAAGATACTGTAAGAAACTCTTTCATTAGCTGTTTCAATAACACAGAATTTCAAAATGTAAACAGTAATATAAACAGTGCAAAAATAATTAACATTCTTAACACTTTCCTTCTCTTCTATTGTTTTTTTTCGTGTTGGGCAGTGTTCTTCGTACACCCTTACAGATTCAGTCTTTCTACAGGTCTGCATAACCGACCAGACCGTGTGTATAGCAGTCCATCATCAGGTGGGCAAGGCTGGGTAGCAGGCAACGCAGTGTCTGTAGAAACGGTAGGTACAGCCTGTTGGACAGCATCAGGCTGCGGCTGCTGTAGTGATGGAGGTGGCGTGATAACAGAGGATGCAGGCACGTACAGCAGATGGCGACGGTTGCGTCTCAGAGTTGCCCCTTTTTGCGTCTCGATGACATAAGATCTCGGGGTAGTGCTGTCACCAGCAACAACAGCGGGTGATCCCCAAACATTCTGATGGTCCAACTTGGAGAGAACAGAATCGCCCGGTTTCAGAGGTGGCAGGAGTTTTGTACCATGGCGCTGATTGAAATAGAAGGCTTGCTTCTGTTTCTCCCTTGCATCCTTACTCCTGACTGCTTGTAGATCAGGCCATTGGGGTTGGAGGTTTGACTCAAGCGTCGGAAGTGTAGTTTTAATCCTTCTCCCCATGAGCAATTCAGCTGGGCTTACACCTGTGGTGGCGCACGGGGTAGAGCGGTAACACATGAGAGCGAGTAAAGGGTCTTTCTGCATCAGAATCCTCTTTGCAATTTGTACTCCTCTTTCCGCTTGTCCGTTTGCCTGGGGGTTATGCGGACTCGAGGTAATGTGTTCGAAGTCAAAGTCACGGGCAAAGTCCCCAAACTCCGTACATGCAAACTGGGGCCCGTTGTCCGAAACGACCTGGTCCGGGCAGCCATAGCATGCAAAAAGTGTTTTCAACTTCTGCACCACCTGTGAGGCAGTAGTTGTTGGCATGTGGAGTATCTCGATAAATCTGGAGAAGTAATCTGACACTACCAGGTAAGCGTGCCTGTTATAATCACACAGGTCGATTGCAAGTCTTTGCCAGGGCCTGTCAGGAAGAATGGTTGAGATGAGGGGCTCCCTTCGCTGTGTGTGCTTCATCTCACGGCAGGTTTGACAGGATTCAACTTTCAGTTTGATGTCAGTAGAAATGCCAGGCCACCACACAGATTCATTAGCCCGCTCCCTGCATTTGGTCAGACCTTGATGTCCGTCATGGATCCGATCCAGGATGTCAGCTCTCAAAGTAGACGGAATCAGCATGCGACAGCCTCTTGTGATGATCCCGTTGTACTCTGACAATTCGCTTCTGACTGGGAAAAAGTCTCTGATGGCAATAGGAACATTTCCTACATATTCTGGCCAACTTGACTTAATGTACTGCAGTATCATCTGCAAGTTACTGTCAGCTGCAGTGGCTAGCCTTATGGTCTCCAGTCTTTGTGGTGTGGCTGGCATGCTGCTGATAACCGCTGCAATGTAACACTCTACATCTGAATGTGTGTCACTTGCCTCTGTTGTGCACTGTACTGGGCTGCGAGAGAGCGTGTCGGCTACAGTGAGAGTCTTGCCTGGTGCATATTCAGCCGTAGGCTTGAACCGCATAAGCCTCATCAACAGTCTTTGGCAACGTATTGGGACATTGTCCAGATCCTTTTTATTCATCAGCGGCACCAAAGGTTTGTGGTCAGTGACCAACTTGAAGTTCTCCAGCCCGACCAGGTACTTCTCGAACCTCTCACATGCCCAAACGCTTGCCAGACATTCTTTTTCTATCTGGGCATATCTGGTTTCGGCGTCGGATAAGCGGCGAGAACAATACGCAACCGGTTTCCAGTCCCCATCGTGTAGTTGTAGCAGCACGCCTCCAATGCCATAGCTGCTAGCATCGGCTGATACAGCTGTAGGTCGGTTCACATCATAGAACTTCAGAACAGGAGACGTAGACAGGATGTCTTTGATGCGCTGAAACGCCTGCTTCTGTGGGTGGTCCCACGTCCATGTAGTCTTGGATCTCAACAGTTCGTATAAAGGCTGGCCCACTGTTGACAGATGTGGAATATACTTTCCCAAGTATGTGAACATGCCCAAGACCCGTTTCAGATCCTGGACAGTCTGTGGTTCTGGCAGCTCTTTAATAGCTTTTACCTTGTCAGGGTCGGGCTTTACTCCTGACTTGTCAATCACCTGGCCCAGGAAGTGAAGTTGGTTCCGTCTGAACACGCACTTGTCTTTATTCAACTTCAAGCCTGCCGACTCGATTCTCTCCAGTACTTTGTTTAGGCGCTGGTCATGCTGTTCTGCTGTGTCGCCGTACACCAGTACATCGTCCATGTAGATGGCCACTCCGTCAAGATCACTCAGGGTCTCTGCCATCTTTCTCTGGAAGATTTCCGGAGCACTCGTGATACCAAAAGGGAGACGTTTGAATGCGTATCTCCCGAAAGGTGTAATGAATGTAGTCAACTTACTGCTTTCCGGGTGAAGAGGTATCTGCCAAAACCCTGAGGCCGCATCCAGGGATGTAAACATGGTGGCGCCACTCAGTTTTGCAGTGATTTCCTCTGCAGTTGGGAGAACATATCTCTCCCTCTTCACAGCCTCGTTTAACCTTTTCAGATCTACACAGATGCGCACTTTGCCGGTTCGTCTTGGGACTGGCACCATGGGTGCGCACCAGTCGGTCGGTTCAGTCACTTTTTCAATGACTCCGTTCTCCTCCATGCGCAGTATTTCCTCTTTTACTTTCTCTAAGAGAGGCAGGGGAACTCTTCGCGCTGTGTGTACTGCATATGGCTCTGTGTTCTCTTTTAGACGTATTTTGACGGGCTCGGTGTTGAGAGTCCCGTGCTCACCAAATGCTTTGTGCACTTCCTCAATGCGTTTGACTAGTCCCATTGCACATGCTGTATCTTTGCCTAGCAAATTATTAGCTGTCTGGCTGTGGATCACATAAACTGGGAATGAGTAGTGCTTTTCCTTGTATTTTGCAGTCGCCTGAAATTTCCCCATGCAACTTAGCTGACCACCGGGGCTGTTCATTGGTGGAATGTTTGACTGCACCAGTTTTTGCTCAGGGACTAACTTGTTGAATGTCTCTTTCTCCATCACGTTTAAATCTGCCCCTGTGTCGATTTTAAATTTAACCGGTGTTGCGCCAATCACAATTTCAACTGTCCATTGATCACTCTCTCTCTTAGTGTCTGTGACGGCACCTAGGAAATATGGCGTCTGAGAAACAGTAGATGCGTCTGTCACTTCTCTGACTGACTTACTGTGGCACATCCTTTCCCAGTGGCCCACTTTCTTGCATTTGTTGCAAGTTGATTTATTGGCTGGACACTTATCCTGGTCTCTGTGCTTTAGTTTGCCACATCTTCCACATTTTGGTTCACCACTTTCTCTCTTTATTTTTCCACTGCTGCTTTCCTCTGTATGGAGATTTTGCATGTGAGACCTCCTGCACCGCTGCGCACGTCTCGCCCTGCTGGTTCACCTGCCTGGTCACCTCCTCGGACTGGCGCACGGCCTGAATAGTTTGGGATAATGTAAGCTGCGTCTCCAACTGCAGTTTACGAGACATCTCCTTGTCGCTAATTCCCACCACTATACGGTCTCTGATGTGCTCCTCTCTCTGTGCCCCAAAGGCACAATGTTCCGATAGTTCATAAAGAGCCCTGATAAACATTTCAGCTTTCTCACCGGGCCGCTGCACCCTCTGGTGGAAACATGCGCGCTCGTGAATAACATTCCTTTTGGGGTAGAAGTATTCATCGTATTTTCCTAACACAACGTCAAACTTTTTTTTATCGGCGTCCTCCGCAAAAGTGAATGCTTTAAAAATGTTTTCAGCCTCCGGGCCCATTGCGTATATCAATGAGCTGACTTGGACCTCACCGTCCTCCTTGTTCAGCTTCGTAGCGACGCGAAAACGCTGGAAACGTTGCTTCCAATCGCTCCATTCAGTCGGGCGGTCGAACGGGAAACTCTCCGGTGGATTAAACTTGGCCATTTTCCTGAAGCCGTACGTCCGTCACCAGCTTCTGACACCATGTAAAGTAATTGAATGTCCACACAAAACGTCGTGCGTAGTGCAAGGCTTTTACTACGGGTTCGGAACTAGCATAATCAACATGCAGGTTAACAACAAGAGGTATACAGTGTCATCGCGGGAGTTACCCCGGTAACCAGGCCAGATGTGATTTACGGCACGTGAGACTACTGTCGTAAAGTATCTCTTACATGACATTAACTACTAACTAACTAACTATAACCAGGGTGCACAGAACTCAGAGGAGAACCAGGACATGGTGTTTGGTTCTCATGTGTCGCGCGGTTCTTAACAGAGATTTTATACTTGCTTCTTTTTAATGCTAAACTTTAGATCAACTCAGATAATCCTCTCAATCCAAGTCAAATAACCCATAAAGGCCTGACGCAGCTGATAAACAGATAAACAGATAAACAGATCTGTAAACCCACGGCCGAGTTTAGAACCAGCTCCAGAACCTGAGGTTTTCCTGAAATTCAACGTCCACAGAATGACTGCCTCTGGAGCAGATTAGCAAGAATCTGAGAGCTGACACTTGTCAATAAAAATGCAGTGTATTATTATAATCCTTCAGTAGAATAATAAAAAGAATATATTACACTATTACAGATTATTACACTTTTTTAAAACTATACATACAATAAAAAACACACTACACAAATATAAAAAAAACATTCAAAACATATAACCCATTAACAAAGATAGGAAAAAGCACAAGTTTAGAACTGCAAATACTACAAAAGGTAAAAGTACCAAAAGTAAAGGACGTTCTGAAGATCAGAAAAGTGAAAGAAGTGAAAACACAGTTTCTATTGACATCAATGGAAACGTTAAAAGAGTTGAAACGCTCCGAAACCTGGCGCAGACAGAAGACGGAGCACAAGAACAAACAGAACAAATGAAATAAAAAGGTAAATGTTTATGTGTTTGTGGTCAGGCAGTACGCGGCCACCTCAGCCCCTGCGCAGCGCCGCAGAAAACCCCGTGCATCGCTCTGAAGGGTCCTCTTCACAGGATCCGCCATTAGGAGCACACCGGTGGTAAGTGCAGCTCTCAGAAAAGTGCCAGAATCGTGTTTTAAAGCCGTGTTTGGGGTCTTCTCCCCGGACCACAGCTCACACTAAGGCCCGGTGCTGTTGTCCCGCAGGTGGACCGAACGTCAGGATGCAGATATTCGTCAAAACCCTCACGGGGAAGACCATCACCCTCGAGGTGGGTCTCAGCGGAGCCTGTGCCGCAGAAAGTCATGATTATTCTGTTCAAACAAACCCATAACACACGTACTGTCCTGGATACTGTGACATGGACCGTGTCAAACCTTCAGAAGCACCGACAAAGATAGAAACGTATTTTCACATGAAGTTATGCTAGGTTGCTATGCTAACTGTGCTAACCGCTACATCCTGCTACACGTGTGACACTAGTCTATAATCTCCAGTGTTTAGTTTACACGTACAGCTAACTTCAAAGTGGCAGATCTGTGGGTAATGGTTATTTAAACTCTGGTTTGTGAAGTCACATCCAACACCTGACAAATCACTCACATCCTGATTCCAAGAACACATTTAAAATCACCCAAAGTCCTGCACGGACAGCGGGGAAAATAATGAAAACTTAAAATGTTAGACTTAGAGGATTTTGGCTGGAATTCTTGACCAATCAAACCAACGCCAACGTGTTTGGTGTAAGGCCTGTCTTTGTCATACAGCTGTAGTAACCTGTCTTTGTTATACAGCTGTAGTAACCTGTCTTTGTTATACAGCTGTAGTAACCTGTCTTTGTTATACAGCTGTAGTAACCTGTCTTTGTCATACAGCTGTAGTAACCTGTCTTTGTTATACAGCTGTAGTAACCTGTCTTTGTTATACAGCTGTAGTAACCTGTCTTTGTCATACAGCTGTAGTAACCTGTCTTTGTTATACAGCTGTAGTAACCTGTCTTTGTTATACAGCTGTAGTAACCTGTCTTTGTTATACAGCTGTAGTAACCTGTCTGTTATACAGCTGTAGTAACCTGTCTTTGTTATACAGCTGTAGTAACCTGTCTTTGTTATACAGCTGTAGTAACCTGTCTTTGTTATACAGCTGTAGTAACCTGTCTTTGTTATACAGCTGTAGTAACCTGTCTTTGTTATACAGCTGTAGTAACCTGTCTTTGTTATACAGCTGTAGTAACCTGTCTGTCATACAGCTGTAGTAACCTGTCTTTGTCATACAGCTGTAGTAACCTGTCTTTGTCATACAGCTGTAGTAACCTGTCTTTGTTATACAGCTGTAGTAACCTGTCTTTGTTATACAGCTGTAGTAACCTGTCTTTGTTATACAGCTGTAGTAACCTGTCTTTGTCATACAGCTGTAGTAACCTGTCTTTGTCATACAGCTGTAGTAACCTGTCTTTGTCATACAGCTGTAGTAACCTGTCTTTGTTATACAGCTGTAGTAACCTGTCTTTGTTATACAGCTGTAGTAACCTGTCTTTGTTATACAGCTGTAGTAACCTGTCTTTGTTATACAGCTGTAGTAACCTGTCTTTGTCATACAGCTGTAGTAACCTGTCTTTGTTATACAGCTGTAGTAACCTGTCTTTGTTATACAGCTGTAGTAACCTGTCTTTGTCATACAGCTGTAGTAACCTGTCTTTGTCATACAGCTGTAGTAACCTGTCTTTGTCATACAGCTGTAGTAACCTGTCTTTGTCATACAGCTGTAGTAACCTGTCTTTGTTATACAGCTGTAGTAACCTGTCTTTGTTATACAGCTGTAGTAACCTGTCTTTGTTATACAGCTGTAGTAACCTGTCTTTGTCATACAGCTGTAGTAACCTGTCTTTGTTATACAGCTGTAGTAACCTGTCTTTGTCATACAGCTGTAGTAACCTGTCTTTGTTATACAGCTGTAGTAACCTGTCTTTGTTATACAGCTGTAGTAACCTGTCTTTGTTATACAGCTGTAGTAACCTGTCTTTGTTATACAGCTGTAGTAACCTGTCTTTGTTATACAGCTGTAGTAACCTGTCTTTGTTATACAGCTGTAGTAACCTGTCTTTGTTATACAGCTGTAGTAACCTGTCTTTGTTATACAGCTGTAGTAACCTGTCTTTGTTATACAGCTGTAGTAACCTGTCTTTGTTATACAGCTGTAGTAACCTGTCTTTGTTATACAGCTGTAGTAACCTGTCTTTGTTATACAGCTGTAGTAGTAACCTGTCTTTGTTATACAGCTGTAGTAACCTGTCTTTGTTATACAGCTGTAGTAACCTGTCTTTGTTATACAGCTGTAGTAACCTGTCTTTGTTATACAGCTGTAGTAACCTGTCTTTGTTATACAGCTGTAGTAACCTGTCTTTGTTATACAGCTGTAGTAACCTGTCTTTGTTATACAGCTGTAGTAACCTGTCTTTGTCATACAGCTGTAGTAACCTGTCTTTGTTATACAGCTGTAGTAACCTGTCTTTGTCATACAGCTGTAGTAACCTGTCTTTGTCATACAGCTGTAGTAACCTGTCCTTTTCTTCAGGTCGAGCCTTCAGATACTATTGAAAATGTCAAGGCCAAAATCCAAGACAAAGAAGGTAATGTGTTGATTATGAATAAGACTGTATTGTCTTTATAAAGTCAGAATAATGCATCTAACACAGTATAGGATAATTATTACAACAGATGAATATGTAACTACACAGCTGCTCATGTTATTATAGAGTAACCTGTGTTTGCAGGAATCCCTCCCGATCAGCAGAGACTGATCTTCGCCGGGAAGCAGCTGGAAGATGGACGTACTCTGTCAGACTACAACATCCAGAAGGTCCGTTTTTATTACTTCACGAAAGGCACGATCTTAAACATACAGACTGAACATGAACGTGTCATGTTCAGATAAAGAGAATATCCATACGTTTGCAAAACAACTGAATGTGGACGTTTTTAGTCTGACATTTACAAAGAGGTTCAGATCATAATAAATCTAAAGTGAGCATAATACTAAGTATTTTAGATCATTACATTCTGGTATAATTATGACTGGTAATGCCAGCTGAAGTTCTAATTGTCTATTTTAGAGCATTCATGAATGTTTTCACGATGGTTGATAAAAGGAACATGTTTGTTATGACGCGTCTCCCGTTAAGATTCTAAAGAGCAGTTTATGAACTGTTCTGAGGAAACTTAAATAAACATGACTGACCTGAAGTTGTAATCTCAGGAGTCCACTCTGCACCTGGTGCTGAGACTGCGCGGTGGAGCCAAAAAGAGGAAGAAGAAGTCTTACACCACCCCCAAGAAGAACAAGCACAAGAGGAAGAAGGTCAAGCTCGCGGTGCTCAAGTACTACAAGGTGAGATCTGGATCTGAGGTCTGAGTCTGATCCAAGATGGCGTCTTATTCAAATGAAGGGCTTGTGCTCAGCAGCTCATGGGACTTGAAGGACCGAGAGATTAGTGGAACTCGCCCATATTTGGGCATCGTCTGGTCCTCCAGGTTCTGTGCACTGGACGAGCTCCCATGATGCTTTGCTCAAAAAACGAGTGTGGCACATGAACAGAGGGCAGGGTTCTGACCAATCAGAGCTGGAAGGAAACTAGCAGAGTTTGTGGCAGTAAAGTGTGGATTTATAGAAAACCGAAGAATCTAAAGAAATTTGTGGACGAGGGGAAACTAAAATCCACACAAAATCTGACCTTTTCTGGAGCTGTAGGTTCTCTGTCAGGTTCTCTGTCAGCTGAGGTCGAGCTGTTTTAGTTTACATTGAGATCTATGGGACTTTTTTTCTGAGTAGTCCTGAGAATTTAGTCTGCAGTACCACAGCGCCCCCAGTGGCCATGGGTGGGACACAGGGCTGCTATAAGATAGTAATGCTCAATCCAGATATTCTAGATCCTTGGTCAAGTCTGACTCTGACCCTGTGTCTCAGGTGGACGAGAACGGAAAGATCCATCGTCTGAGGCGTGAGTGTCCCGCTGACGAGTGCGGAGCTGGAGTGTTTATGGCGAGTCACTTCGACCGTCACTACTGCGGAAAGTGCTGCCTCACCTACTGCTTCAACAAACCAGAGGACAAGTGAAACTGACGTTAATAAACATGTTTGACTAAATCTACTCTGGTCTTCACTGATGGTGGATCTGGACTTAGTTCATTGTTTGTCACTGACGTTTTTAAAGCTTTTCTGTCTGAGGGTGTTTAACCCTTTCCTTTGAGAAATACTTAAAGTACATCGAGTTCTTCAATCTTTCAATATAATTGGTAACAAGTGTTCATCCACTTTATGGATTAGAATCCTAATCTAACTTCCTAAATTGACCCTGTGTCTCAGACCCTTTTAGTCACTTTGCCCCAAGGGTTATTGGAAACTTGTGGATGTAAAGTGTTTTAATTCATCTGAGACTAAATCATTGATTCTTTAAACATTTGATGGTTTCTGAATAAACTTGAGCTGATCATTTTTCTGGGTAGTCTGCAGTACTGTGGGTGATGCCTTTATCCACATAGATCCAAGGTTAACACTCGAGCTCAGATGGTAGAGCTTTGGGCTTTAAGGTTGTGGGTTAGAGTCCACCATAAGACTTACTTCACGACTCCTGTCGTGTGCCTGAAGCCCCGGCTGAAAGATCAAGGCTCCTGGACTGCAGAAGGATCAGTGAGGGGCTGACTTCTGACCCAGAAATGGACTGAGGCTAAGAAGATGGATGTTTAAGATTGAACTTTTGAGGAAATGGGCGGAGTCTGATAAACCTGGAGCCAGCCCGGCCGTACCGCACAAATTACATTTCATACTAAAGGAAATAATTGGCCAGGCTAAACCTGGAGCTAAAAGCTGCAAGTTTATATGAAAATAGACCATGGATGAAGGCCACTGGTATGAGATCAAAATGGCCGACAGATGGGCTCACTCAGAATAAGGAGACGACAGGGTGAGTTGTGTACTAAAATAAGGTTATTTACTTAAAAATCATTACAATGGACAGACTGTACAGTTTCCTTGGTAAACTCACAAGGCACCAAAGCAGATGCTGTACAAAAACACCACAAATCAGGTAAATATTAGAGATTATTCTATACTGGGTACCTCTTTAATACATAGAATAATACAGCTCATCCACACACACAAACACGATCATACACACGGCGAACAGCAGCTTTGAGGCAAACATATCCAAATCCTATTGACTTTGCAGACCAGAGAGAGAGAGACCAGAGAGACCAGAGAGAGAGAGACCAGAGAGAGAGAGACCAGAGCGAGAGACCAGAGCGAGAGACCAGAGCGAGAGACCAGAGAGAGACCAGAGCGAGAGAGACCAGAGAGAGAGAGACCAGAGAGAGAGAGACCAGAGAGAGAGACCAGAGCAAGAGAGACCAGAGAGAGAGACCAGAGCGAGAGAGACCAGAGAGAGAGAGACCAGAGAGAGAGACCAGAGCGCGAGAGACCAGAGAGAGAGACCAGAGAGAGAGACCAGAGAGAGAGAGACCAGAGAGAGAGAGACCAGAGAGAGAGAGACCAGAGAGAGAGAGACCAGAGAGAGAGACCAGAGCGAGAGACCAGAGAGAGAGACCAGAGAGAGAGACCAGAGAGAGAGACCAGAGAGAGAGACCAGAGAGAGAGACCAGAGAGAGAGACCAGAGAGAGAGGACCAGAGAGAGAGACCAGAGAGAGAGACCAGAGAGAGAGACCAGAGAGAGAGACCAGAGAGAGAGACCAGAGAGAGAGACCAGAGAGAGAGACCAGAGAGAGAGACCAGAGAGAGAGAGACCAGAGAGAGAGAGACCAGAGAGAGAGACCAGAGCGAGAGACCAGAGCGAGAGACCAGAGAGAGAGACCAGAGAGAGAGACCAGAGCGAGAGACCAGAGCGAGAGAGACCAGAGAGAGAGACCAGAGAGAGAGACCAGAGAGAGAGACCAGAGAGAGAGACCAGAGAGAGAGACCAGAGCGAGAGACCAGAGCGAGAGACCAGAGCGAGAGACCAGAGCGAGAGACCAGAGCGAGAGAGACCAGAGCGAGAGACCAGAGCGAGAGACCAGAGCGAGAGACCAGAGAGAGAGACCAGAGAGAGAGACCAGAGAGAGAGACCAGAGAGAGAGACCAGAGAGAGAGACCAGAGAGAGAGACCAGAGCGAGAGACCAGAGCGAGAGACCAGAGCGAGAGACCAGAGAGAGACCAGAGAGAGAGACCAGAGAGAGAGACCAGAGAGAGAGAGAGAGAGAGACCAGAGAGAGAGACCAGAGAGAGAGACCAGAGAGAGAGACCAGAGAGAGACCAGAGAGAGACCAGAGAGAGACCAGAGAGAGACCAGAGAGAGAGACCAGAGAGAGAGACCAGAGAGACCAGAGAGAGAGACCAGAGAGAGAGACCAGAGAGAGAGACCAGAGAGAGAGACCAGAGAGAGAGACCAGAGAGAGACCAGAGAGAGACCAGAGAGAGAGACCAGAGAGAGACCAGAGAGAGAGACCAGAGAGAGAGACCAGAGAGAGAGACCAGAGAGAGAGACCAGAGAGAGAGACCAGAGAGAGAGACCAGAGAGATATCATTCGTTCTTGTTTACTGCAGATGGAAAAATGAATCTGAAATAAGACGATAAACTACGGCACGCTTTCCTCCAGTCTGTTCGTTGTGATGTCACTGAAAGCTGCTGCCCACTGCTCTCTCTCGGTCTCTCTCTCTCTGAGTCTCTCAGTCGGGACAAAGGCTGTGGACAGAGGGACAGACGGACAAGGACGGGAGACGTTTCCATGGTAACTCCTTTAGCATAAGTCTCTGGAGCCCTGGGACGTCGACACCAATCTCCTCCTGAACGGCAGCTAACATTTATGTACATGATAATTCACATGTTCAATAATATCCATAGTATCAATAGTACCATTTCCTATAGTGACTCTACTTAGAGAGTGAGATACAGTTCATTCTGGCAGGAGAGACAGTCCTGAAAATCCATAAAACAACACACTGGCGGTGCCCCGGGACAGGGGTCCGGGACAGGGGTCCAAGACAGGGTCCTGAAGGTTCACTCTCCCCTCGGCCCTCAGGTCTCGGGTCTGAGCTTTCACAGAAAGCATCATTGGCCCCTGTTCTTCAGAGGAGGCTCAGGCCTGTTCAGTCCAGGCCCTGGTTCTAGTCCAAACTCAGGCCCTGGTTCTAGTCCAAACTCAGGCCGTCCAGTCCAGCGGGGGTGGGGCAGAGGAGGGGGTCAGATCTTGATGTCCTGGGACTCCACCATCTTCCCCAGAGTCTTCTTCACCCTGAGGATGGTGAGTCTGGAGGCGGGATTATGGGCCCAGCACTCAGACATCAGCTTCAGCATGGCACGCAGGCACTGGGGACACACAGGGGACACATTATAATGGGGCACGCAGGCACTGGGGACACACAGGGGACACATTATAATGGGGCACGCAGGCACTGGGGACACACAGGGGACACATTATAATGGGGCACGCAGGCACTGGGGACACATTATAATGGGGCACGCAGGCACTGGGGACACACAGGGGACACATTATAATGGGGCACGCAGGCACTGGGGACACATTATAATGGGGCACGCAGGCACTGGGGACACACAGGGGACACATTATAATGGGGCACGCAGGCACTGGGGACACACAGGGGACACATTATAATGGGGCACGCAGGCACTGGGGACACACAGGGGACACATTATAATGGGGCACGCAGGCACTGGGGACACACAGGGAACACATTATAATGGGGCACGCAGGCACTGGGGACACACAGGGGACACATTATAATGGGGCACGCAGGCACTGGGGACACACAGGGGACACATTATAATGGGGCACGCAGGCACTGGGGACACACAGGGGACACATTATAATGGGGCACGCAGGCACTGGGGACACGGTCAGCACTAGATCATATACGGAATCGGGACGGAAGCGGAAGTAAATATAAAAAACTACCTGTTCATGCCTAAACTTAACCATCTTACTCAGACCACCTTAACCCTAACCTTAACCATCTTACTCAGATCACCTTAACCCTAACCTTAACCATCTTACTCAGACCACCTTAACCCTAACCTTAACCATCTTACTCAGATCACCTTAACCCTAACCTTAACCATCTTACTCAGACCCACCTTAACCCTAACCTTAACCATCTTACTCAGACCACCTTAACCCTAACCTTAACCATCTTACTCAGACCACCTTAACACTAACCTTAACCATCTTACTCAGACCCACCTTAACCCTAACCTTAACCATCTTACTCAGACCACCTTAACCCTAACCTTAACCATCTTACTCAGACCGCCTTAACCATCTTACTCAGACCACCTTAACCCTAACCTTAACCATCTTACTCAGACCACCTTAACCCTAACCTTAACCATCTTACTCAGACCACCTTAACCCTAACCTTAACCATCTTACTCAGACCCACCTTAACCCTAACCTTAACCATCTTACTCAGATCACCTTAACCCTAACCTTAACCATCTTACTCAGACCACCTTAACCCTAACCTTAACCATCTTACTCAGATCACCTTAACCCTAACCTTAACCATCTTACTCAGACCACCTTAACCCTAACCTTAACCATCTTACTCAGACCACCTTAACCCTAACCTTAACCATCTTACTCAGACCACCTTAACCCTAACCTTAACCATCTTACTCAGATCACCTTAACCCTAACCTTAACCATCTTACTCAGACCACCTTAACCCTAACCTTAACCATCTTACTCAGACCACCTTAACCCTAACCTTAACCATCTTACTCAGACCACCTTAACCCTAACCTTAACCATCTTACTCAGACCACCTTAACCCTAACCTTAACCATCTTACTCAGACCACCTTAACCCTAACCTTAACCATCTTACTCAGACCACCTTAACCCTAACCTTAACCATCTTACTCAGACCCACCTTAACCCTAACCTTAACCATCTTACTCAGACCACCTTAACCCTAACCTTAACCATCTTACTCAGACCACCTTAACCCTAACCTTAACCATCTTACTCTGACCACCTTAACCCTAACCTTAACCATCTTACTCAGACCACCTTAACCCTAACCTTAACCATCTTACTCAGACCACCTTAACCCTAACCTTAACCATCTTACTCAGACCACCTTAACCCTAACCTTAACCATCTTACTCAGACCACCTTAACCCTAACCTTAACCATCTTACTCAGACCACCTTAACCCTAACCTTAACCATCTTACTCAGACCACCTTAACCCTAACCTTAACCATCTTACTCAGACCACCTTAACCCTAACCTTAACCATCTTACTCAGACCCACCTTAACCCTAACCTTAACCATCTAACTCAGACCCACCTTAACCCTAACCTTAACCATCTTACTCAGACCACCTTAACCCTAACCTTAACCATCTTACTCAGACCCACCTTAACCCTAACCTTAACCATCTTACTCAGACCACCTTAACCCTAACCTTAACCATCTTACTCAGACCACCTTAACCCTAACCTTAACCATCTTACTCAGACCCACCTTAACCCTAACCTTAACCATCTTACTCAGACCCACCTTAACCCTAACCTTAACCATCTTACTCAGACCACCTTAACCTTAACCTTAACCATCTTACTCAGACCACCTTAACCCTAACCTTAACCATCTTACTCAGACCGCCTTAACCCTAACCTTAACCATCTTACTCAGACCCACCTTAACCCTAACCTTAACCATCTTACTCAGACCACCTTAACCCTAACCTTAACCATCTTACTCAGACCACCTTAACCCTAACCTTAACCATCTTACTCAGACCACCTTAACCCTAACCTTAACCATCTTACTCAGACCACCTTAACCCTAACCTTAACCATCTTACTCAGACCACCTTAACCCTAACCTTAACCATCTTACTCTGACCACCTTAACCCTAACCTTAACCATCTTACTCAGACCCACCTTAACCCTAACCTTAACCATCTTAGCATTGTCCATCTGTATACAGTCTGTGTTAGCATTAGCATCTGTAAACAGTCTGTGTTAGCATTAGCATCTGTAAACAGTCTGTGTTAGCATTAGCATCTGTAAACAGTCTGTGTTAGCATTAGCATCTGCATACAGTGTGTGGGTGGCTGTAGGGACGGTGTCTCTGATGGGACAAACCTCGTCACTGTTCCAGCGGTTGGACACCGTGGGCCTCAGTCCTTTCACACACACCACCTCCAACATGTCCTCGTAGGACGGGTCTGAAGGAACCATGTCGTAGTACGGCAGCTGGTAGTCCTCGGCGATACCTGCACGGACACACCTTTAGTCTTTAGTCTGTACTGTCCCTTTAAGACGGACACAGCGTCTATATCTATGTGTGTAGTTTCTTCATGATGTGATGAGACACACGTCACTGATCTTAGACACATACCACAGTATGTACAATGTTTGAAGTGAGATTATATATATATATATATATATATATATATATAATATGTACAAAAGAAAGTATGCAGGTATACTAAAGACCTTTCAGCATTGTTAAGACACACACACACACACACACACAGACACACACACCTCCACAGACACAGACACAGACACACACACACATCTCCACAGACACACACATCTCCACAGACACAGACACACACATCTCCACAGACACAGACACACACATCTCCACAGACACACACATCTCCACAGACACAGACACACACATCTCCACAGACACAGACACACACATCTCCACAGACACAGACACACACACACATCTCCACAGACACACACATCTCCACAGACACAGACACACATCTCCACAGACACACACATCTCCACAGACACACACACACATCTCCACAGACACACACATCTCCACAGACACACACATCTCCACACACACACACATCTCCACAGACACAGACACACACACACATCTCCACAGACACACACATCTCCACAGACACACACACACATCTCTACAGACACACACATCTCCACACACACACACATCTCCACAGACACACACATCTCCACAGACACACACATCTCCACACACACACACATCTCCACAGACACAGACACACACACACATCTCCACAGACACACACATCTCCACAGACACACACAGACACACACACACATCTCCACAGACACACACATCTCCACAGACACACACATCTCCACAGACACACACATCTCCACAGACACACACACCTCCAGTGACGCAGCGCCGGGCCATCTCCCAGACCAGCAGACCAAAGCTGTACATGTCGGCCATGATGTAGGCCTGGAAGTGGTTCTTGTTCAGGGTCTCGTCCAGGACCTCGGGCGCCATGTAGCGCCGCGTCCCCACACGGTTACTCAGAGGCACGTCCACGTCGTTGGTGTCACTGCACACACACATCACCATCAGTCCTGGGTCTACAGCCTCAGTCCTGGGTCTACAGCCTCAGTCCTGGGTCTACAGCCTCAGTCCTGGGTCTACAGCCTCAGTCCTGGGTCTACAGCCTCAGTCCTGGGTCTACAGCCTCAGTCCTGGGTCTACAGCCTCAGTCCTGGGTCTACAGCCTCAGTCCTGGTCTACAGCCTCAGTCCTGGGTCTACAGCCTCAGTCCTGGGTCTACAGCCTCAGTCCTGGGTCTACAGCCTCAGTCCTGGGTCTACAGTCTCAGTCCTGGGTCTACAGCCTCAGTCCTGGGTCTACAGCCTCAGTCCTGGGTCTACAGCCTCAGTCCTGGGTCTACAGCCTCAGTCCTGGGTCTACAGCCTCAGTCCTGGGTCTACAGCCTCAGTCCTGGGTCCACAGCCTCAGTCCTGGGTCCACAGCCTCAGTCCTGGTCTACAGCCTCAGTCCTGGGTCTACAGCCTCAGTCCTGGGTCTACAGCCTCAGTCCTGGGTCTACAGCCTCAGTCCTGGGTCTACAGCCTCAGTCCTGGGTCTACAGCCTCAGTCCTGGTCTACAGCCTCAGTCCTGGGTCTACAGCCTCAGTCCTGGGTCTACAGCCTCAGTCCTGGGTCTACAGCCTCAGTCCTGGTCTACAGCCTCAGTCCTGGGTCTACAGCCTCAGTCCTGGGTCTACAGCCTCAGTCCTGGGTCTACAGCCTCAGTCCTGGGTCTACAGCCTCAGTCCTGGGTCTACAGCCTCAGTCCTGGGTCTACAGCCTCAGTCCTGGGTCTACAGCCTCAGTCCTGGGTCTACAGCCTCAGTCCTGGGTCCACAGCCTCAGTCCTGGGTCTACAGCCTCAGTCCTGGTCTACAGCCTCAGTCCTGGGTCTACAGCCTCAGTCCTGGTCTACAGCCTCAGTCCTGGGTCTACAGCCTCAGTCCTGGGTCTACAGCCTCAGTCCTGGGTCTACAGCCTCAGTCCTGGGTCTACAGCCTCAGTCCTGGGTCTACAGCCTCAGTCCTGGGTCTACAGCCTCAGTCCTGGGTCTACAGCCTCAGTCCTGGGTCCACAGCCTCAGTCCTGGGTCTACAGCCTCAGTCCTGGGTCCACAGCCTCAGTCCTGGGTCCACACACCTGTTGAACTTGACGGCCAGCCCCAGGTCGGCGATGCAGCAGGTGCCGTTCTTCTTGACCAGTATATTCTTGGTCTTCAGGTCGCGGTGGGCGATGGCGGGCTTGCCCTGGGTGCCGTAGATCTCGGTGTGGAGGTGGCAGAGGCCGCAGGCGGCGGAGTAGGTCAGCCTGAGAAGGGAGGCCGTGTCCAGGGTGCTCTGCTTCAGGAAGTCGTACAGAGAGCCATTCTCATGGAAGTCTGTGATCAGGAAGAGCTGCATGTAGGCCCCGGAACTCTTTATGTCCGCCGCAATGAAGCCTGAGGGAGAGACCAGCAGGAGACCGAGGGGGAGCAGGGGGAGAGCAGAGGGAGAGACCAGCAGGAGACCGAGGGGGAGCAGGGGGAGAGCAGAGGGAGAGACCAGCAGGAGACCGAGGGGGAGCAGGGGGAGAGCAGAGGGAGAGACCAGCAGGAGACCGAGGGGGAGCAGGGGGAGAGCAGAGGGAGAGACCAGCAGGAGACCGAGGGGGAGCAGGGGGAGAGCAGAGAGAGAGACCAGCAGGAGACCGAGGGGGAGCAGGGGGAGAGACCAGCAGGAGACCGAGGGGGAGCAGGGGGAGAGCAGAGGGAGAGACCAGCAGGAGACCGAGGGGAGCAGGGGGAGAGCAGAGAGAGAGAGACCAGCAGGAGACCGAGGGGGAGCAGGGGGAGAGCAGAGGGAGAGACCAGCAGGAGACCGAGGGGGAGCAGGGGGAGAGCAGAGGGAGAGACCAGCAGGAGACCGAGGGGGAGCAGGGGGAGAGCAGAGGGAGAGACCAGCAGGAGACCGAGGGGGAGCAGGGGGAGAGCAGAGGGAGAGACCAGCAGGAGACCGAGGGGGAGCAGGGGGAGAGCAGAGGGAGAGACCAGCAGGAGACCGAGGGGGAGCAGGGGAGAGAGCAGAGAGAGAGAGACCAGCAGGAGACCGAGGGGGAGCAGGGGGAGAGCAGAGAGAGAGACCAGCAGGAGACCGAGGGGGAGCAGGGGGAGAGCAGAGGGAGAGACCAGCAGGAGACCGAGGGGGAGCAGGGGGAGAGCAGAGGAGAGAGACCAGCAGGAGACCGAGGGGGAGCAGGGGGAGAGCAGAGAGAGAGACCAGCAGGAGACCGAGGGGGAGCAGGGGAGAGCAGAGAGAGAGACCAGCAGGAGACCGAGGGGGAGGGGCAGGGGGAGAGCAGAGGGAGAGACCAGCAGGAGACCGAGGGGGAGCAGGGGGAGAGCAGAGGGAGAGACCAGCAGGAGACCGAGGGGGAGCAGGGGAGAGCAGAGAGAGAGACCAGCAGGAGACCGAGGGGGAGCAGGGGGAGAGCAGAGGGAGACAGAGACCAGCAGGGAGACAGAGGGGGAGCAGGGGAGAGCAGAGAGAGAGACCAGCAGGAGACCGAGGGGGAGCAGGGGAGAGCAGAGGGAGAGACCAGCAGGAGACCGAGGGGGAGCAGGGGGAGAGCAGAGAGGAGAGACCAGCAGGAGACCGCAGGGGAGCAGGGGGGAGCAGGGGAGAGACAGCAGGAGAGAGAGAGCAGCAGGAGACCGAGGGGGAGACAGCAGGGACGGGGCAGGGGAGAGCAGAGGAGAGACCAGCAGGAGACCGAGGGGGAGCAGGGGGAGAGCAGAGGGAGAGACCAGCAGGAGACCGAGGGGGAGCAGGGGAGAGCAGAGGGAGAGACCAGCAGGAGACCGAGGGGGAGCAGGGGGAGAGCAGAGGGAGAGACCAGCAGGAGACCGAGGGGGAGCAGGGGGAGAGCAGAGGGAGAGACCAGCAGGAGACCGAGGGGGAGCAGGGGGAGAGCAGAGGGAGAGACCAGCAGCAGGAGACCGAGGGGGAGCAGGGGGAGAGCAGAGGAGAGACCAGCAGGAGACCGAGGGGGAGCAGGGGGAGAGCAGAGAGAGAGACCAGCAGGAGACCGAGGGGGAGCAGGGGGAGAGCAGAGGGAGAGACCAGCAGGAGACCGAGGGGGAGCAGGGGGAGAGCAGAGAGAGAGACCAGCAGGAGACCGAGGGGGAGCAGGGGGAGAGCAGAGAGAGAGAGACCAGCAGGAGACCGAGGGGGAGCAGGGGGAGAGCAGAGGGAGAGACCAGCAGGAGACCGAGGGGGAGCAGGGGGAGAGCAGAGGGAGAGACCAGCAGGAGACCGAGGGGGAGCAGGGGGAGAGCAGAGAGAGAGACCAGCAGGAGACCGAGGGGGAGCAGGGGGAGAGCAGAGGGAGAGACCAGCAGGAGACCGAGGGGGAGCAGGGGGAGAGCAGAGAGAGAGAGACCAGCAGGAGACCGAGGGGGAGCAGGGGGAGAGCAGAGGGAGAGACCAGCAGGAGACCGAGGGGGAGCAGGGGGAGAGCAGAGGGAGAGACCAGCAGGAGACCGAGGGGGAGCAGGGGGAGAGCAGAGGGAGAGACCAGCAGGAGACCGAGGGGGAGCAGGGGGAGAGCAGAGGGAGAGACCAGCAGGAGACCGAGGGGGAGCAGGGGGAGAGCAGAGGGAGAGACCAGCAGGAGACCGAGGGGGAGCAGGGGGAGAGCAGAGGGAGAGACCAGCAGGAGACCGAGGGGGAGCAGGGGGAGAGCAGAGGGAGAGACCAGCAGGAGACCGAGGGGGAGCAGGGGGAGAGCAGAGAGAGAGACCAGCAGGAGACCGAGGGGGAGCAGGGGGAGAGACCAGCAGGAGACCGAGGGGGAGCAGGGGGAGAGCAGAGGGAGAGACCAGCAGGAGACCGAGGGGGAGCAGGGGGAGAGCAGAGAGAGAGAGACCAGCAGGAGACCGAGGGGGAGCAGGGGGAGAGCAGAGGGAGAGACCAGCAGGAGACCGAGGGGGAGCAGGGGGAGAGCAGAGGGAGAGACCAGCAGGAGACCGAGGGGGAGCAGGGGGAGAGCAGAGGGAGAGACCAGCAGGAGACCGAGGGGGAGCAGGGGGAGAGCAGAGGGAGAGACCAGCAGGAGACCGAGGGGGAGCAGGGGGAGAGCAGAGGGAGAGACCAGCAGGAGACCGAGGGGGAGCAGGGGGAGAGCAGAGAGAGAGACCAGCAGGAGACCGAGGGGGAGCAGGGGGAGAGCAGAGAGAGAGACCAGCAGGAGACCGAGGGGGAGCAGGGGGAGAGCAGAGGGAGAGACCAGCAGGAGACCGAGGGGGAGCAGGGGGAGAGCAGAGGGAGAGACCAGCAGGAGACCGAGGGGGAGCAGGGGGAGAGCAGAGAGAGAGACCAGCAGGAGACCGAGGGGGAGCAGGGGGAGAGCAGAGAGAGAGAGACCAGCAGGAGACCGAGGGGGAGCAGGGGGAGAGCAGAGGGAGAGACCAGCAGGAGACCGAGGGGGAGCAGGGGGAGAGCAGAGGGAGAGACCAGCAGGAGACCGAGGGGGAGCAGGGGGAGAGCAGAGAGAGAGACCAGCAGGAGACCGAGGGGGAGCGGGGGAGAGCAGAGGGAGAGACCAGCAGGAGACCGAGGGGGAGCAGGGGGAGAGCAGAGAGAGAGAGACCAGCAGGAGACCGAGGGGGAGCAGGGGGAGAGCAGAGGGAGAGACCAGCAGGAGACCGAGGGGGAGCAGGGGGAGAGCAGAGGGAGAGACCAGCAGGAGACCGAGGGGGAGCAGGGGGAGAGCAGAGGGAGAGACCAGCAGGAGACCGAGGGGGAGCAGGGGGAGAGCAGAGAGAGAGACCAGCAGGAGACCGAGGGGGAGCAGGGGGAGAGCAGAGGGAGAGACCAGCAGGAGACCGAGGGGGAGCAGGGGGAGAGCAGAGGGAGAGACCAGCAGGAGACCGAGGGGGAGCAGGGGGAGAGCAGAGGGAGAGACCAGCAGGAGACCGAGGGGGAGCAGGGGGAGAGCAGAGAGAGAGACCAGCAGGAGACCGAGGGGGAGCAGGGGGAGAGCAGAGGGAGAGACCAGCAGGAGACCGAGGGGGAGCAGGGGGAGAGCAGAGAGAGAGACCAGCAGGAGACCGAGGGGGAGCAGGGGGAGAGCAGAGAGAGAGAGACCAGCAGGAGACCGAGGGGGAGCAGGGGGAGAGCAGAGGGAGAGACCAGCAGGAGACCGAGGGGGAGCAGGGGGAGAGCAGAGGGAGAGACCAGCAGGAGACCGAGGGGGAGCAGGGGGAGAGCAGAGAGAGAGACCAGCAGGAGACCGAGGGGGAGCAGGGGGAGAGCAGAGGGAGAGACCAGCAGGAGACCGAGGGGGAGCAGGGGGAGAGCAGAGAGAGAGAGACCAGCAGGAGACCGAGGGGGAGCAGGGGGAGAGCAGAGGGAGAGACCAGCAGGAGACCGAGGGGGAGCAGGGGGAGAGCAGAGGGAGAGACCAGCAGGAGACCGAGGGGGAGCAGGGGGAGAGCAGAGGGAGAGACCAGCAGGAGACCGAGGGGGAGCAGGGGGAGAGCAGAGAGAGAGACCAGCAGGAGACCGAGGGGGAGCAGGGGGAGAGCAGAGAGAGAGACCAGCAGGAGACCGAGGGGGAGCAGGGGGAGAGCAGAGAGAGAGACCAGCAGGAGACCGAGGGGGAGCAGGGGGAGAGCAGAGAGAGAGAGACCAGCAGGAGACCGAGGGGGAGCAGGGGGAGAGCAGAGGGAGAGACCAGCAGGAGACCGAGGGGGAGCAGGGGGAGAGCAGAGGGAGAGACCAGCAGGAGACCGAGGGGGAGCAGGGGGAGAGCAGAGAGAGAGACCAGCAGGAGACCGAGGGGGAGCAGGGGGAGAGCAGAGGGAGAGACCAGCAGGAGACCGAGGGGGAGCAGGGGGAGAGCAGAGAGAGAGAGACCAGCAGGAGACCGAGGGGGAGCAGGGGGAGAGCAGAGGGAGAGACCAGCAGGAGACCGAGGGGGAGCAGGGGGAGAGCAGAGGGAGAGACCAGCAGGAGACCGAGGGGGAGCAGGGGGAGAGCAGAGGGAGAGACCAGCAGGAGACCGAGGGGGAGCAGGGGGAGAGCAGAGAGAGAGAGACCAGCAGGAGACCGAGGGGGAGCAGGGGGAGAGCAGAGAGAGAGACCAGCAGGAGACCGAGGGGGAGCAGGGGGAGAGCAGAGAGAGAGACCAGCAGGAGACCGAGGGGGAGCAGGGGGAGAGCAGAGGGAGATGGATTAGTTTCCATGTGAGATCATGGCAGTCTGTGTGACCCTGCTCCTCCTAACCCAAGGCTCTCCATCAGTGTTGTTCCAGTTCACAACTTTTCTGAACTAGTTCAAAGTTCAGTTCATTTTACTTTTTTGTGAGATACTTATATATATATATATATATATATCTCCTGTACACCCACAGGAGGAGAGCCTTTTGACCACAAAACAGACCAGATTTACATGGTTTTCAATGGGAGCCAAACGGAGTTGCTCCATCTCTGCTCATAAACTACAGACAGTAATGCGCTGCAGTACTGTGTTTATACTTTATGCTCATAAACTACAGACAGTAATGCGCTGCAGTGCTGTGTCTATACTTTATGCTCATAAACTACAGACAGTAATGCGCTGCAGTGCTGTGTCTATACTTTATGCTCATAAACTACAGACAGTAATGCGCTGCAGTGCTGTGTCTGTACTTTATGCTCATAAACTACAGACAGTAATGCGCTGCAGTGCTGTGTCTGTACTTTATGCTCATAAACTACAGACAGTAATGCGCTGCAGTGCTGTGTCTGTACTTTATGCTCATAAACTACAGACAGTAATGCGCTGCAGTGCTGTGTCTGTACTTTATGCTCATAAACTACAGACAGTAATGTGCTGCAGTGCTGTGTTTATACTTTATGCTCATAAACTACAGACAGTAATGCGCTGCAGTGCTGTGTCTGTACTTTATGCTCATAAACTACAGACAGTAATGCGCTGCAGTGCTGTGTCTGTACTTTATGCTCATAAACTACAGACAGTAATGTGCTGCAGTGCTGTGTTTATACTTTATGCTCATAAACTACAGACAGTAATGCGCTGCAGTGCGTGTGTCTGTACTTTATGCTCATAAACTACAGACAGTAATGTGCTGCAGTGCTGTGTCTGTACTTTATGCTCATAAACTACAGACAGTAATGCGCTGCAGTGCTGTGTCTGTACTTTATGCTCATAAACTACAGACAGTAATGCGCTGCAGTGCTGTGTCTGTACTTTATGCTCATAAACTACAGACAGTAATGCGCTGCAGTGCTGTGTCTGTACTTTATGCTCATAAACTACAGACAGTAATGCGCTGCAGTGCGTGTGTCTGTACTTTATGCTCATAAACTACAGACAGTAATGCGCTGCAGTGCTGTGTCTGTACTTTATGCTCATAAACTACAGACAGTAATGCGCTGCAGTGCTGTGTTTTCATCACGACTCGGGCACATGTGAAAAGCACCAGCTCACAGCGCCGCACCGCAACACGGAGTCGGGGTGCGTTCACAGACGGTGGAAACGTAGGAATTTTTAGATTTCGGCGGAAAAAGTGCGAGAATACAGGAGGGAGGAACTTTCTCTCGTTGCGTTTCAAAAGAGAAAACAGATTCCAACGTTCACAGTGATGTCTGCCGTTCATGACACATAAAATGAACTAATTCACGTTCAAGTTCTTTTTAAAAAAAATGTGTTGCGTTCAGTTCAATGTTCACAAAAAAATGAGCGTGTTCAATGAACGCGTTCTTTTGAGCTCGTTCACGCACAACACTGCTCTCCACACTCCAGAGCCGGACCCAGACCCAGAGCCGGACCCACCCCGACCCCGGACTCTGACTCAGTCACCTCCTTCATGGACAACACCTCCTGCACAGGACTGAGGAGGAGCTGAGGAGCTCCTTCAGTGGAAGAAGGAGCAAGACCTTTATCCCCACCGCTGTCAGACTGTACAATGAGTCACTTTAAGACCTGCTGCTGTTGTCACTGTTTATTGTACTTAATTATTTCCTGCACTGACTTTATATTAAACCTTTAACGAGTTTCTGTCTTTTACACAATCTGAATCTGAGTGATTCTGTGCTGATGTGACGACTACATTTCTTCATCAGAGATCAATAAAGATCTTATGTTAAACTCGTACCCAGGATGTTGTCGTGCCGCATGAGCACAGTCTGGTAGATCTCCGTCTCCCTGAACCAGCTGGTCTCCTCGCGGGTGAAGAAGACTTTGACGGCCACCTTCTCCCCCCTCCAGCGCCCCAGCCACACCTCGCCGTAGCGGCCTTTCCCGATCTGCCGCACCATCTGGATCTGTTTAGCAATGGTCCTCTGCACCTGAGGTTACAGACCAGAGAAGGTTAAAACAGAAACATGTGGCCAAAAGTGGTACTGCAGCCTCTCCCACTCTCCCTGACTCAGGTTGCCAGATATGCAGACGAATCCAGCTGGGACCATAACAGCTGAATAGACAAGAGTTTAGTCAACAACAAATCTATAACCAACTCCTTTTTCACAAAGATAGAAATCCTGCTTTTATTCCTTGTTTTGTCGTTAATGATTTGAGAATCATAACGAGACCTTTTTTAGTTCTGCGCCACATGGTACTTTACCAGTGAGATTAGCTCCACGCGGTGAGTTCTGGCGCCCGGATCACGGACTTTCTGATTGGTGAAACGGTGGAGGGCGGGACATCGAAATGAAAACAATAACAAGATTTAGAGGCTGGAAAAGTAATTTAGAAATTTAGATATCTCTGAACTACTGTTATCAGTTAAAGAAGTATTGGAAAAAAAACAGTTTATTATTATGACAGATTAGGGCCCTTTAATGATGACAGATTAGGGCCCTTTAATGATGACAGATTAGGGCCCTTTAATGACAGATTAGGGCCCTTTAATGATGACAGATTAGGGCCCTTTAATGATGACAGATTAGGGCCCTTTAATGACAACAGATTAGGGCCCTTTGATGATGACAGATTAGGGCCCTTTAATGATGACAGATTAGGGCCCTTTAATGATGACAGATTAGGGCCCTTTAATGACAACAGATTAGGGCCCTTTGATGATGACAGATTAGGGCCCTTTAATGATGACAGTGGCATGGCGCCGTAAAGATGGCGCCGTAGCAAGAGCTCTGGTGTGTGTCGTCTGGTGCACACTGGGGTTGTCTTGCACAGTTTTTCCAATGTGGTTTTACTGCAAATGGCAAATAAATGAATCTGTGGCTTAGTGGTAGAGCATTGGCCTTTGGGCCTGAAGGTTGTGGGTTCGAGCCCTCAACTAACTCCCACTGATGTCTGCAGTTGTTGTGTCCTTAGGCATGACACTTAACCCACTTTGCCTATAAGGAGCGCAGAAGTAGTATTTGCTAAGAACTGACATTTCCCCACTGTGGAACCTATAAAGAACCTTCTTCTTAAGTGTAAAGATTTAACTCTGACCAGATGAATTGGCTCATTCTCTCTGCTGTGTACTGACCGTGGTTTTCAATTGCACTTAATTAAAACTGGAGCGGCCTGGACTCTTTAACCATGTTGTTTTATGGAGAGAAAAGGCAGAGTGTAGTGCTGCGGCCTCACCAGCAGGGGGAGCCCGGAGCCACTGCCTGAGCTCTGGGACTGATAGATGAGGTCTTTGAGGGACTCTCCGGCCGGAATGAACACTTCCTGCTCCAGGTCTTTGTGGTACCTCTGACGCTCACTGTGCCACTTGTACCTGAGACATACACACACACAGAGACACACAGACACACACACATATGCACACAGACACACACAGACACACACATATGCACACACACACACACAGACGGACACAGACACACACAGACACACAGACGGACACAGACACACACACATATGCACACAGACACACAGACGGACACAGACACACACACATATGCACACACACACACAGACACACAGACGGACAGACGGACACAGACACACACACACACAGACACACACCACTGTTAGCTTAACAGACCAGAGAGAGACCAGAGAGAGACCAGAGAGAGACCAGAGAGAGACCAGAGAGAGAGAGAGAGCAGTACCTGTAGTAGCAGACCACAGTGATGCAGATGAGGGTGCAGCAGCAGACGGTCATGGAGATGAGGAAGGCCAGCCAGTGAGGGTTTCCTTCTGGAGACAGCCACAGATCAGATCTACTGCATCACTGCTGATTCATACGTCACATGATAAAGTGTTTTACCTGCAGGGGGGAGTGGAGGCAGCGTGGGCACCAGGTCTCTGTTGCAGAAGTCTGTGTTGCAACATGCGATAGTCCTCCTGGCCTTAGCGTACCTCGAGTCCTGTCACATGGTGTGTCTTTTTACTTTTACTTCAAAACTTTCACATTCAACAGAAAACTTACAGGAGGCAAAGTACTGAGGACCTACAGCTGCTAGCCTACAGCTGCTAACTTACAGCTGCTAACCTACAGCTACTAGCCTACAGCTGCTAGCCTACAGCTGCTAGCCTACAGCTGCTAACCTACAGCTGCTAACCTACAGCCAACAAAATGATACAATTTTCGTCTGATGTTAGACTCCAGAACATTTCAGTGATGTGGTAAAGCAACGCCTGAGACTGTATGTAAATGTATGTTTCCGTTCATTCTAATGTCCATATGTACGTCTGTGTGTGTGTGTGCGTGTAGCATGTGTATGTGTGTGTGTGTGTGTGTACATTGTGTAGTGTGTGTACTGTGGTACCTTGCACTGGAAGTGTGAGCCTTCGTACTTCATGCAGCCGGAGGTGAGGATGTTGTCCCCGTGTTCGTCTTCCTCGATGATGGCGAAACACGCTCCGTTTGTCCTGAAGAAGAACATGTCTCATGTCAAACACAGATCTTTGTTTTCAAACACACATGTCCTCAGAACGTTCACAAACACGTCCTCAGAACACTCACGTCCTCAGAACGCTCACAAACACATAGGTCCTCAGAACGCTCAAACACACACACATCCTTAGAATGCTCACAGACAGACATGTCCTCAGAACGCTCACAAACACACGTCTTCAGAACACTAACACACGTCCTCAGAACGCTCACAAACACACACGTCCTCAGAACGCTCACAGACAAACACGTCCTCAGAACGCTCACAGACAAACACGTCCTCAGAACGCTCACAAACAAACACGTCCTCAGAACGCTCACAAACACACACGTCCTCAGAACACTCACAAACACACACGTCCTCAGAACACTCACAGACAAACACGTCCTCAGAACACTCACAAACACACACGTCCTCAGAACACTCACAAACACACACGTCCTCAGAACACTCACAAACACACAAGTCCTCAGAACGCTCACAAACACACACGTCCTCAGAACGCTCACAAACACACACGTCCTCAGAACACTCACAAACACACACGTCCTCAGAACGTTCACAAACACACACGTCCTCAGAACGCTGACAAACACACACGTCCTCAGAACACTCACAGACAAACACGTCCTCAGAACGCTCACAAACACACACGTCCTCAGAACGCTGACAAACACACACGTCCTCAGAACACTCACAGACAAACACGTCCTCAGAACGCTCACAAACAAACACGTCCTCAGAACACTCACAAACACACACGTCCTCAGAACACTCACAAACAACACACTCCTGATGTGGAATCACTCTTCACAAACTAAGTTTAGAAAGTATCGCAGAATCTAATCACACACTGTCTGTATCACAATAAGAATCTAATGTTTGACAGTTCAAGACCTAGAGTAAGCCTGAAGCCAGAGGTCCTGTTGGAGCAGACAATGGGACTATAATATCAATGTCACAATAGCATACGTACTGTGTATATATATATATATATATATATATATATATATATATATATGTATACATGTGTGTATTTCTCACAGGCAGGTGCTGTTGGAGGCGTCGTCAGGGCAGTGTCCAGAGCAGTAACACGTGAGGAAGCGAGCGGCATCCTCGGGCGCCACGGTGGAGCCGTCTCCAGGACGTCGCAGTTCGGGCTTGACCCCGGTGCCCTGCAGCACATGGTCTGGGTTCTGACCCGCGTTCTGACCCGCACCTGAGGACCACACATGGTTATTACCACACACACATTTAAACTATTCTTTCACTCAGCGTTAGTGTCGTCTTCATGAAAACATTCAGACTCTGGAGAAACAGCAGCAGGACATTACAGAGATGGTGATTCTCCAACACAGATGAGAGAATCAGACAGTTCACACACACACAGTTCACACACACGTTCACACACACGTTCACACACACACGGTTCACACACACACGGTTCACACACACAGTTCACACACACAGTTCACACACGGTTCAGTGGTTTATAAATGTGGAGTTTCTGACCTCATTGAAATGAAAACACTTTAACTGACAAACCATGTGTCAATCATCTCCACCTCAGGAAACTCACACCATACATCACAGACGTGACATCACAGACGTGACGTCACAGACGTGACGTCACATGTCACATCACAGACGTGACGTCACAGACGTGACATCATGAACTATTCAAATCAAAGATTGTCGAAGATAAAAAAGTGACGTTAAAAACCCTGATAATTCATCACTTTCTGCACAGCTTTATGTGGCTCTCCTCGTTCATAGACCTGTCCACACTCTCACATCTCTCCCTCTGCACAAACTATAGAGGAGGTGCAGCAGGAGGTGCAGCAGGAGGTGCAGCAGGAGGTGAACATTCTCCTGCCATCACATCACAACAACAGCTCCTTTTAAGGCCCACCGGCTATTTTTACTTTCTCTGCTACATGCCAGAGACTCACACACTTCACCCACTCCTCCACCAATGAGGAGAGAGGAGGAGAAGAGGAGAGAGGAGGTGAAGAGGAGAGAGGAGGTGAAGAGGAGAGAGGAGGTGAAGAGGAGGTGAAGAGGAGGCCAATGAGGAGAGATCAATGATGAAAATAAAATCATAAATAATCGAAATGTAATATCCCTCATTTGTGGCAGAAACAGAACTGTTTTTAATTTAGATTTGAACAGGAGTCCAGTCCCTGTGCTCCTCAGAGTCCCAGCAGGAGTCCAGTCCCTGTGCTCCTCAGAGTCCCAGCAGGAGGCCAGTCCCTGTGCTCCTCAGAGTCCCAGCAGGAGGCCAGTCCCTGTGCTCCTCAGAGTCCCAGCAGGAGGCCAGTCCCTGTGCTCCTCAGAGTCCCAGCAGGAGGCCAGTCCCTGTGCTCCTCAGAGTCCCAGCAGGAGGCCAGTCCCTGTGCTCCTCAGAGTCCCAGCAGGAGGCCAGTCCCTGTGCTCCTCAGAGTCCCAGCAGGAGGCCAGTCCCCTGTGCTCCTCAGAGTCCCAGCAGGAGGCCGTCCCTGTGCTCCTCAGAGTCCCAGCAGGAGGCCAGTCCCTGTGCTCCTCAGAGTCCCAGCAGGAGGCCAGTCCCTGTGCTCCTCAGAGTCCCAGCAGGAGGCCAGTCCCTGTGCTCCTCAGAGTCCCAGCAGGAGGCCAGTCCCTGTGCTCCTCAGAGTCCCAGCAGGAGGCCAGTCCCTGTGCTCCTCAGAGTCCCAGCAGGAGGCCAGTCCCTGTGCTCCTCAGAGTCCCAGCAGGAGGCCAGTCCCTGTGCTCCTCAGAGTCCCAGCAGGAGTCCAGTCCCTGTGCTCCTCAGAGTCCCAGCAGGAGTCCAGTCCCTGTGCTCCTCAGAGTCCCAGCAGGAGGCCAGTCCCTGTGCTCCTCAGAGTCCCAGCAGGAGGCCAGTCCCTGTGCTCCTCAGAGTCCCAGCAGGAGGCCAGTCCCTGTGCTCCTCAGAGTCCCAGCAGGAGTCCAGTCCCTGTGCTCTAACATGTCACAGATGTACTTTGGTGAGAGGCCATGAGGACGTCTACACCTCGTCCTTTTGCTGAGGACTCCAATCAGTCTGTGCAAAATGGATGTTAATTGACACACACACACACACACACGATACATCACTCATACACACATGTGTGTTGTGTATGTTGTGTATGTTGTGTATGTTGTGTGTGTTGTGTATGTTGTGCTCGGGAAACTTCATTCAATGATAAAAAGTAACATTACGTAGTTAACAATGTTCACATTGCTTTGGTCACGGACACTTGTGTGTCCGTGTGTGTGTGTGTGTGTGTGTGTGTGTGTGTGTGTGTGTCTGAGTCTATGTACTGTATGTGTCTGTCTGTGTGTGCTTGTATGTGTGTGTGTGTGTGTGTGTGTGTGTGTGTCTGAGTCTATGTACTGTATGTGTCTGTCTGTGTGTGCTTGTATGTGTGTGTGTGTGTGTGCTTGTATGTCTGTGTGTCTGTGTGTGTCTGTCTGTGTGTGCTTGTATGTCTGTTTGTGTGTCGGAAGGCACGTGTGTGTGTGTGTTGGAAGGCACATGTGTGTTTAATTGTGCCGAGTGGAGACTGAGGTCTGGCACAGAGGCCTCTGGGTAATCGCCCTGTTCCATGTGCTCTTAAAGACACAGTACTGTTTATTTCTACAGCAGCAGTTACTCTAGAGCAGGGGTCGGCAACTCAAAAAGTTCAAAGAGCCATATTTGAGCAAAAATAAAAAAAACAAATCTGTCTGGAGCCGCATAAACTTTACTGCCTTTTTTAAGGTGTATATGAAAGCAACACAGGCTGTAAGCTGTATTAGCCTACTATCAAAATGAGTAAGTATAGGCTACAAATACATAATATGCATTCATGATTATTATATATATATATACATTTTCACTGTAGTGCAAGAGAGTGACGCACCATGTGACTACTCTGCTATACCATATATGCTTTAAGTTTAACTTTCCTTTTGTTGCGTTCATGCAATTGTAGAAATACAGTAAATACATCTGTTTTTGGCTCAGTTCTCATACCTGCATTACAGCACTTTCTGTTCATATCGATCACGTCACACGTCGTCACGGCTGGAGTTGGCTGGAGCTGAATGTCCCGAACGGTGTTTCTCACTTTTTTGTTCCTCGTGTTGCAACAAAATTCAGGCGTAGAAGTTTGGAGATGAATCCTCCAGAATAACTGCGATCGCACTGTTTCTCTCCAAACTGGGGTCAGCAGCCGATTTTCCACATGACTTTTTGTTCTTCAATATATTCTCATTACAAAGCAAACATGAAGCAGTCCTTCCTCATTGACTCAATGAGAGCCAAATGTTACAGTCCATTTGTCCTTGAGTTCCTGGTTCTTATCAAGTATTTCCCTTTTTAGCTTTGGGATTTATGCGGACTCATGTGGCACATGCTGGTTTGTTTACAACAGCGGCCCCCGGCGCGGGGCCGCGTAACCGCGCGTCGCAGGATATGACGCACATCTCAGTTGACACAAATGTTAAAATTAAATATTTCTTATGCACATTTTTACTGCATTGGAAAACATTAAGAATGTTGTCCTTCCTACAGAAACCACATTGAAACTATAAATAAAATATACCCTTCCCACTCCATTTTCGGACATTTTTGAAAAGGCTCCAGGAGCCACTCAAGGGGCACTAAAGAGCCGCGGGTTGCCGACCCCTGCTCTAGAGCTAGCAGCAGTTACTCTAGAGCTAACACAAACACAAAATGCATTAAACCAGATTAGAATGCCCTTTCTTTTATTATCTGTACAATCTTGTATGAGTATGATCTTGTCTCTGTGTAAAGTGTCACTTCCTGATTCTTCTAAATAAAGATTAATTAAAACGTCTCCTCCAAACTGTACATATTTGTGTTTAGTCATGTTTGCTCTGCTCTTTTATGACTCAGGACTTTAAACTGAGCCGCCGCAAACACACACGCACACACAAGCGACACACACACACACACACACACACACGCGCTCTGACGGCTGTTTACACTGGTGTGGCTGCGTTTCCATGGCGACCGCATACTACAGCCCTGAGCTGTCATTAAAGCTGCAGTCCCTAACTTTCAAACCACATTAACTACATGTAACAGGATCCTGGCTCTAAAGGCTGGACTCTAGTTTATGTACGGATCATAATAATAATAATAATAATAATAATACCAGTCTGAGAAGCCATGTTGGAACTTGTTTAAAAGCTTTAAAGTCGTGTGTCTCTCTAAGTCGTGATTCTCAGAGCTGCAGTGCATTGTGGGAGTGATTTGGATGATTATAAATGTGCGCGGGCTTCAAAGGGCGATGGTATCTGTGTCGAGGGAGAGGGATATTTCCGGAGAACAATGGATGTTTGGAGTGTTTAGCACCGCCGACAGCTCATTGGGCGACATACAGGAAGTGGTCCCAGTGCCAACAGGAAGTGAGAGCGGCAGCAATCACTTCAACAGCTTCCTGTGCCCAAGTACTGCGCTGAACGGAGTCTCAGGACCAGGACCAAGAGCCAGGACCAGGACCAGGACCAGCACCAGCACCAGGACCAGCACCAAGATCCAGGACCAAGACCAAGAGCCAGGACCAAGACCAGGAGCTAGGACCAGGAGCCTGGACCAGGAGCCTGGACCAGGAGCCAGACCAGAGAGACCAGAGAGAGACCAGAGAGAGAGACCAGAGAGAGACCAGAGAGAGAGACCAGAGAGAGAGACCAGAGAGAGACCAGAGAGAGACCAGAGAGAGACCAGAGAGAGACCAGAGAGAGACCAGAGAGAGAGACCAGAGAGAGACCAGAGAGAGAGACCAGAGAGAGACCAGAGAGAGACCAGAGAGAGACCAGAGAGAGAGAGAGAGACCAGAGAGAGACCAGAGAGAGACCAGAGAGAGACCAGAGTGAGGAGGGACCAGTTCGTAGCAGAGTCTGTGATGGTGTCAGAGGAGGAAGAGCTCTGTTTCCTCTGTCTCTGGGAAATTCTCTTATCACTGAGGACCTCCGCCTGGTCCTATCAGGCCAGAGGGAGGACCAGGTGACCTCCGCCTGGTCCTATCAGGCCAGAGGGAGGACCAGGTGACCTCCGCCTGGTCCTATCAGGCCAGAGGGAGGACCAGGTGACCTCCGCCTGGTCCTATCAGGCCAGAGGGAGGACCAGGTGACCTCCGCCTGGTCCTATCAGGCCAGAGGGAGGACCAGGTGACCTCCGCCTGGTCCTATCAGGCCAGAGGGAGGACCAGGTGACCTCCGCCTGGTCCTATC